CTATTTCGCTGTTCTGCCCAGAAGACAGCTGTCTGCCAGTGTGGTAAATTGTTTAACTCGTTTATTTTCATCGTAAAATTATCTGTTCCACATATTTTCTAACCAAACATTCTAGTACACTTCATATGCCATTTTCGCTGAGTGCAGCTTTTTCGAGTCGATTTGCACAAATTGAATTGCTAGAATTATCAGTTTAGAAGTTCAACATCTCCTTCTGGAAGATGAAGAAGGAGAGTATATGTATTTTCGCTGCTTTGTAGATGCTTTCAACGTACAAACATATATGTATATATATATCTACTTATACAATATATACCCAATTATGCACACACATATTACTTGAAACATATTTCTGCGCGCCATGTGTTGCTCTACGATGGCAAATTAGTACAAACTCAGGGGGCTACAAATTAATTTTTAGACCGTTTAATGTGAGTGATTCGCAATTGAGCAGCATGCGGGCAAGCGATAATTTAAAAATGTATCTAGACCAATCGACACGAGCTTTTTTTTGAGCGATTGCAAATTCTGTTATCCAAAATTAATAAAATTTTTTACAGTCAAATGTTCATGCAATATTGAATGTATGCGGGGCCCACTAATGCCTAAAGTGGTTTCTATGTCACGATAGTTCACGTGGCGATCTTGCAATACTAGTTTGCGCACATCATCACGACTCTTATGAAATTCGTCTTGAAGTGATCTACGACCTCGATTGAATTCACCATACCATCGATAAATACTGGCCTTTGATGGAGCTTCATAGCCAAAAATTTTATTAAGTTCATCGATGTCCTGTTGCTGAGTTAATTCACGTCCAAAGTTGTAAAAAATAATCGTCGAAATGAATATTTTCTGTTACTGTAAACAACACAAATAGCGCTCGTATGTCAAATTGTCTTGAGTATGCGCACCATCAAAAATCCCAAACTTTAGAATAAAGTTGTGATATGCCAAAACCCGAAATATAAAGGGCAACCTAAGTAAGCTCCAGTGATAACATCAGTATAAAAAGTATATTTTAGTTTCTACCGCTGACCTATATTTTTTCAATTTGTATTGTGGTTCATATCCACCTCAACTCATTTATTCTTATAGTTTTCTTAGTAAGATGTGAACTTGTTGTTTTAATGCCTAAAAGTATGCTTAGAAAGAATATTGATTTAAGAGAAACGGCAGTCAAGGGAGCAAAGGGCAACAGTTTCCAAATAATTTTGTATTCACGCCCGATCGAAAGTATATGAAAATATAAAAACAAATATACGCGAAAGTATATATAGAGGGATAAATACAAAGTAAATACACACATAAAAGTCAACCAACGTCGACTCAACGCTCTCTGCTGCCGCAAGCTGAATTTACAAAAATTCTAAAGTATGCCAAAAATGCTGCCGACAGGTCGTAAATTAAGTGTGAATGTGCTAGAAAGTATATAAAATTCTCCGTGCGAAAATATTTACTTTTACGACGACCCTTAAGTGAGCTTTCATGTTTTGCTTATATCGCCTGTGTGCTTATCACTGATTTTATGAGCTGCTGTTGTTCTTGTTCTTAATATTTTTGATGTTGTTATTGTGGTTGTTGTTGCTGCTACGACCGCTGCCGCTTTCAAAGACTTTTAATGAATGTTACTTATAAACTCTTTTAACTGCACGACTTACTATAGCAGCAACAAACACACACAGTCACAAAATGGTTTAACATTGAAATTCGACCGACAAAGACAGACGTGCAGGCTATGATGGAATACGAAAACAAGAAAAAATGTAAACTTTGGTTGCACCGAAGCTGTAACACACTTCGCAATAAAAACAAGTTTCCACACAAGAACTTGATTTTGATCGGTCAATGGCCAGCATCAGAAAAGACGTGAACAAATTGTCAGATCGATATCTCAAAAACTGAGGGATTAACAGACAGACGGATATGGCATCATTTCGTCATGCTGATCATTTATATATATAATTTATAGGGTCTCCGACGTTTCGTCCTGGGTGTTACAAACATACTGGCAACCTAATATTCTTTGTTCATGGTATAATAAAAAAAACCGCTAAATGAAAAGTGCTCAGCGGGGCAGGTGTTATGATTGTTTAAGCAGCCAGCAAAAGTTCACAAAGCACTTTCAAAGTGTGCATATTTGATAGCTAAAGGCTTCATCTCAGCAGAAGATTGTACACAACGTGCGCACACTTTCACCGCCTGAAAGTATGCTACTACTATGTTCTTGGCGTCTACGTGCTTACTGGTTCAAGGCTTACTGTAACAGCTAAAAAGCTCATAACAGGCCTGTGACGTTTACTAAATATAAACAGTTTAAATGCGTATATACCAGAATGTATTTACTTCCAACTACTTTTGTATAATTGTTTTAAATCTACGAAACGCGACCAGCTAGGCAGAAAAATTTGGGAGCTTAAGCTCGCTAATAAATACATATTTATATTTATTTGTAGCATAATGTATATGGTGCGAGTTTTACTTTGAACAAAGACGGCAAAAGTCGCTTACGCGGAAACCTTGCCGCAGGCTGTAACAGATACCCGTATAATTTCCGCGCGCAGCAGACTTATGAATATTAAAGTGTGTATGTGTATACATTCAAGGCCATTATCAACAGTTGTTTTCGAAAGAATTTTTCCATTGTATACAACAATGTTATATTTAGACGTTCAGAACTTAAACATAACATGTTGTGTTCATTTCTAGAAGAAGCTGAAGAGAGGGTCGAAATATCAATAGATATTTGTGCCAAAGAGTTCGGAATTAATTGCATTGAATGAGTTCGGATTTTACTGGATATAATGAACTTTCCTTTGCTTGCCTTTTGACTACTAAATAATAATGAGCTTTAGCATCTAAGGGCTAAGGACTCAATGAGACTGTACATAAAACTTTATAGAAAGAGAAAGGAATAATTCCAGCAAAAAAAAAATGTCTCTAATTTTCTTAGGCTACACAGTTATACAGGGTGGCTCGCGAATCGTGCGTAATAACTTTTTTCCGTGGGAGTAATCGTCTTATATTTTTATTTAGCTGGTTATAATTTAATTTTTTTTTTTAATAAATGGAACATTATGAGGTTGGTAAACATGTTTGCTGAATCTGGATCTATCGCAAAAAGAAGATGGCGCCTACTCAGGCAAATCCAAGAGTTTCAACTCGCAAATTATCGGCACAACTTGGAGTTAGCAGACGGTCATTACAACGGATAATTCATGATTACTTAAACCTGTGTTGGTACAAAGTTCAAATAACAAGCCGGTTAAGCCCTCTAGATTCGCCTATTCGCCTGGAACTTTGCCAAAAAATTTTGGAAATTATAAATTGCCTGTTTATGTCTAATGAGGCCCATTTTTATCTAAACGAAAATGTAAACAAGCCAAATAGTCGTATATGGAAAGAATCAAATCCAGAAATAAGTAACGAGACGGAACTTCACCCAGAACGAGTCAGTGTGTGGTGCGGAGTTTCATCAAGGTGTACTGTCGGGCCATACTTCTTTGAAGGAAACGGTGTAACAGTAACTGTCAATGGGCACCGTTATTAAAAGATGTAAAATGAGTTTTGTTTACCCAAAACTGCGCCAAAGACGTATCCCTTTCAGTTTGGTTTGGTTTCAGCAAGATGGAGCAACTACACATAACCAGACCGGTTATTGCGGAACTCCAACGAAAATTTGACAAAAAATTAATATCAAGAAACTACACTTTCCGCTGGGTTCAAGGTCCCCTGATCTAATTGCACCAGACTTTTTTTATGGGGTTATGTCCAGCAAGAGGTATAAGAACACCCAAAAATCTGACTGAACTGAAGCAGTCCATTTAATCGCGAATTGAGGCAATTCCGACTCAAACCTTCAGGCCGTAATGAATAAGTTTCGAATTAGGTGTCGCATTTACGGTTCACAAATTATATTAAATAAAATAATATTTAAAAAATAAATATAATGCATTGTTTAAAAAGCAGTTATACGATTTGTTTTTGTAGTACGATACGTGAACCACCCTGTACAAAAAAACTAAAGCAAGTTATGCCTGAGCTAATTTTGGATACCAAACTGATGTGAAAACTCAATGTGGGCGATATAGAGAAAAAAGTCAGTGTAAGAAGATGCTAGAGTCTACATGGAGCCTATCACCTGGCCTCATGCTTTGGTGTTAAATCGGCTGCAGGGATTTTCGGGCATAGCTCAATACGCAGGGGGTTGGCGGGTAAAAAAGACCACATACCCTCTCGCTTTTTCTGGGAGAGGAAGTTTCAATTCACACTAAAACAGCTTGATGGCTCAGGAATACACGATCTACCAGCGGAACTTTCAACATCCACAAGGACGGATTAAAAATGGCTAATGGGATGATCTCAAGCGCCTCTTCAAGCTGCCGGAATATTGCAATATCTTCAGATGGAAGGAATCTACCGGCATCACATGCGAGCCGTATTACAAAGTAGACGTCCTCCAAAGTTACACAGAGTTATTTATTGGTTTAATTATCTGTCAAGAAATGATAATTTCTTGACGTAATTGATGAATAAACATGTAGTTTATATGAGTAAAGTATATACATTTTTATATAGGGAAGGTATATATATGTACATCGTCACGCAAGAAGCTCCTTTATCGCTCAATCCCGCTCTCTGTATATATAAATTACAGATGTATATAGCCACTCACGAAGCCTCCTTATTGCACAGTCCTGCTCTCTGTATAAATAAGGTAAAAATATATACAAAGTCACGCCGTAGCTCCTTATCGCTTAACCCTGGTCTCCGCATTGCATTCGCTCTCAACGTTTTAATACTAACATATCAAAACCAATCTAAAAACACATGTTGTCTCAGAGCATCCTTTCTGTACTGTCGCGTTTTCTCTCTGAGCAATCTTAGTAGAAATTCACCATAGCCGCTCTCGTAAGAGCACATTTTTGTTGCTGTTGTTATATGCATCACATGGTTATAGCTTGGTACCAACTCGCTGGACCACTGCATCATTCAGTCATCGTCGCGCTGTCAACACAACTGGTACATTCAACGGAAGGAATTATAACGGAAATCTTTGATAACAACAACACCTGCTACAGTGGTGTGTGTGTGTGTGTGTGTAGGTGTCTATAGTGCATTTCTGTGTGCTTTAGTGTTAGTGCGTCAGAAACTTTGTAGAAGCGCGCGAGAACACATATTTGCATGCATGTAAATATGTATATGTATTTGTGTGCGTAAGCATATATGTATGTATTTAGACATATTTACATACAAATTGTTATGGTAACGAAACTTCTGTCTTTTTTGGTGACTGCGTGCATTTGTTTTAATTTTTTTTAAATTAAATCCAAACAGTTTTAGAACAGAAAAACAAAAAGTATCGTTGGTGAAAATGAAATATTTGTATACATATTTATAAATGAAATATACTTAATCGTGCATGTATTAGTGCTGTAACTAAAACCGCAATTTTATATATATAAAAAAAAAAACAACAAAAGCACCAAAAAAAGTTTCATACGTAAAATGTTTGTTTATCTTGAGTGACAGTCAATTTGCAAGAGTAGGTCGACAGCCGCCTCTCCAGTGAGTTAAAGGGCTGCTAATTGCTTCTGACATATTTCGCATTTTCTGTGACATTTTCCACTGACAGCAAATGTTAGTGAAATTTCAACAACAACAACCAAACTCACACATACGCGCATTTAATGTGTTGCCGAAATCGCTGCTGGTGAGCCACAAGCTTTTGCCATCGAAGTTTTACCGTTAATTGAGCGCCAAGCACGTTCTTAAGTAACGACTTTCAATGCTGTTGTGTTTGTATAGAATAACTATTGAGCGGAAACGGAGGTCTAACGGTGTTTTTGAGACTTCCGAAAACATGTGTACAAAAAAAGTAAACAACAAAACAGGCCAAAAGCAAGCCACTAATTGTATGTACTTGTGTGTGTGTGTGTGAAATTACTTCATACTTGCGCTTGTGTATTTGTGAATTAATACGCGCAAAGTTAATTGGCGGCAAATGTTGATGATGTTGACAGCAACGCACTCATAACTCGGTCAGTCGGTCGTGGCTGCGAAGTCACATGTTACGCATAATTAATGACAAAAACAAATATGGAAAACAAGCTTGCACACACATATATCCATTTATATATATACAAACAGAGAAACTAAAAGTGTGTGTGCTCCGACATATATATAATATTATTATTGTCTGCCGGCAGCCGCAGGGCGTTCGAGCGACGTCCCGTGACTGGTAGAAAAGGAAAGCAGCAATGCCTTTGAGTCTGCGCTTCCTGCTGCGCGTGCTACTGTATTATTAATTATTATTATGCTATGAGCTGTGACAAACACACAAACGATATAGATATGCCTACTTTAGCTTTTGTTGTTATTCAATTTGTATTTGTTTTACAGTTTTAATTGCGCATAATTAATGCTTGAGTGAATGTTTTAACCAGATTCGCATAAAACATATCTGCACCAATGCATATGAGTACAATAATTCGAGAAAAATGGAACAAGTGAAAATTCGTCAATTAATATGTCATCGGAGAAATGCGAAATTTTTTGTTATAAATTGTTGATATGGAAATGTGGAGCAATTAAGTCATATCAGCACATGTTTTAAAACATCAATTACAACATGTTAAAAAAGTGTAGTGGTATACTCGTAGAAGGTTGCTTAAACGGTAATTTAATTATTATACAATTTAGAGAATTAAAAAAATTAAATAAATAAATTAGAAGAATATTATCAAATATATAAAGTAAATTCAAATACAGCGGAATAGAATAAAATAAAATTAAAAAAATGTATTTAATTGAATTAAATTAAATATATCAAAAAATTAGTATCAAATGAAAAAACAAAATCAAAATGTACAAGTAAAAAAGGGCTAATTTTGGATGTAAACGAACACTTTATACTCTTGCAACTTGCAAGAATATCATCACAAAAATAATCTTCCCGAATTTTAATACTAGACCTAACAGATGTATTCGGAATAAACCAGCTTTATGCACTGAGGTCAACAAATTTGGTGTTTGTGTTCTTGAAAGGTTATAGTATGATTTCGAAAATTTTTGGACGTAGAATGAAATAACTTGAGGACACTATTCGTACAAAGTTTTATCCCAATATATTCATTGTTGTTTAATTGGTATACTGTACAGTAAAAGAACCAGATATAATTTAAAAGTGCGTTATATGGAAAGTAGGCGTGGCTGATATTCGATTTCGCCCATTTTCGCAATGTATAATATGAATATTTCGTTAATCCATACATTATTTGGTTGAATTCGGTCGAGATATAGGATTTCACCTAAAGGTGGACAGCTCAGTTTTACAACTGCTGCTATAAAGCCGTTCCATATATTCATTGTTGTGAAGTTTAAAGATTTACCGCATTTATGGTTTTATTTTGATAACAGTGAGTTATCGCACTTTTAGTGGGTTTCAACATAATCATTATATAGCAGGAGAGAGGGCATTGTTATTATCTGAGTTTTTTCACTGAGTTTCAGGAGTGGCTAAAATGACTTCATCTCAGCAAGTTTGGTTGATATAGCTTTAGCGGTTTGAAAGATATGTACATTTAACTATTTAGGGGTGGCACCACGGCCTGGCAACTGCAATCTCCTATACTACATAACCATTTTTTTCTTAATTTAGGACTTAGTTCTAGTTATATAAGTTTTCGTTTAATGGCGTTTTATAGGCGTTACAGTGGTCCAATTCCGCCCATCTGCAATAAAAATCTCACTTAGGTAGATATATGATTACCAAGTTTCAATGACTCAAATTTTAATCAAGTTATCGCTTGCATGGCAAACGGAGGGACCGCTAGTCACTCGGAATTCAACTCGTCGCGTCATCCTGATCATTTATATGTACTCGGTAGGCGAACAGAGCTATTATACTCTGTGGCAACATGTTGCCCGAGTATATTGAAATAAAATAAAATATAATAACCGAATAAAAACCAAAATCAAGATATAAAAAAGTTAAAATGGAAATTATAACGAAATAACGTATCCGATTTTGATTAAATTGCGTCAGCCTATTTTTAGACTTATAAACTGATAGTTTTTGCCGCAGTGATATTAAGGAAAACCATTATTTTCGGTCTTAAAATCTAGTACATATTTAGAAAATATGGGGAAGAATACAGAAATCCCGATAGGTCACACCAGGGTCAAATTGTAATTAGAACCATTATATTCAATCTGATTTAAAACCGCTTAACTTAACTGTCTGTGTTCAATGGTCAAAACTCTTCTCTAATGCGATTTTTTGTCATATATGCTTGTTAAACGTTACAATACAGTGTTTGGCCAAGAATTTACGAAAAAATTCATTGATCCATTTTGTTTAACAACCGAAAATCGACAAGCTCATAAAAGCATCTAACATCCGCGCCTGCTACAGACAAAGTAAGCTATGGATACAACCTAAAATTTTACCGAACTTCAGGAGCATGTATATCAATATAATGAAATCAGGTTTTTACAATTGAACTCTCCAAACCCTCGAAATTTTATTTTTAAAATTCGCTTTACTTTTAAAACACACCTCGTAAAATCATTTCTTCTGACGAAGAATGTTGCTTTATGAATGTCTTGATCAATGACTTGAAACTTTGGTTAGAAGCGCTATATTGAGGATAGGAAAATATTACACAGATCGCAACTTAGTGAGCACAACTAGAAAAAAAATAATGTACCAATATACCCAAAGGGTGGGGTAACATATATATTAAGTCCCATTGAGTTATCTCACTTGCCGTCTGAGCTATCCAGTGCGATAAGACTAGTATGGCTGCGAGGGCACAGCGGACTGCTGGGCTTCGCGGGGTTCATGCGCTGTCGCATGATTTTTTCGGCCTTCGGAGCTCTTTGCCCTCAGTAAGGCTAACCTCTCCTTAGTTGTGGGGTTCTAACAATTAATTTCTCTATCCCGCTTCGCCAGATCTAGGCTTAAACACTTGAGAACTCACTCTTTCAGATATCCCATCGAGATGGTGAGAATAAAAATTCAACGCCTGAGCAAATTTGTATTGGCCACAAGGCGCTTTGCTGACTTCTAAGATCGCATACAAGAGTTCTGTTTTTTATATCTTCATAAAGTACTGCATACAGTAGTCCAAGTGTGATCTCAGGATCAGCCATCGAATCTAACCCAACCTAGTGTCTTGGTATTAGTCATACACATTTTTAACCGCAAAAAAGTCTGAATTAATAAATTAACTTTATTAAATAATATAATTAAATAAAATTTTGGAAATAGTATTTAAAACAGCATAATACACTGAAAACACATTACTTACACTTATTAATCATTAATAAAACTTTCTAGATTTATACAAAATTATCGTGGCCTCCTAATAATAATTGAGCAAATGTATTAAATTTCGAAATTCAACACATAAACCCCAAGTGAATAAAGCCTTCGAACATGTGATTACTTAAATCAGATATTCGATTAAAGGTAATAATCTGCGAGTAATGTGTGGCACGTGATTTGAAGGCGAATGCAAGCAAAGTGCGAAATAAAGGCAACACTTCACATAAGAAAGTATTTACTCCGGAGTGATATTATTACATTAAACATACACCATACAATAACAAAATAACGGAATACCGGCGTCAAGTCAATTTCAGTGCGAAAATGTGCAATTAAATGTGTGACTAAAAATAAACAAATGTGAAAGATATTGGAGAAGAGCGCATGCTAATAGACGCATAGCCGTAATATATTACTTCAATGGAGACGGAGTGAAAAAACAACTATATTAGAGCTTAGAAAATATATACTTACTACTACATTAGCGTAAATGTACAATATAAGTATACATACATTAATTTGACTGTGTGCAATAACATCAAATAAATAATTTCGTAAATATGTAAGTATCTAAGGTTTACATGCAAAAATTTAAATAAAACGTATTTATGTGAAAGTATGCAAAATGATATATATATATATGTATTGTATATATGGACTATATGTGTACTGTCTTGGGAATGTCTGCATAAAAATATCTGGTTGTTTGAGTAAGATTTATGATCCATTAGGTTGCGTCATTTCAAAAATTTCCGTATGAAAAATGTATGCTAAAAAGTATTACTGACAAATCTACTATAATCTGTATATCCAAAAAATATTAATATATTCACATATAGGTATATGAACATTTATATATTTATACTCTATAATATAAAGTATAAAAGCTTTGTCCACTTGGCGGTTGTTTGTATCATCTAAAACTAAACGAGATAGATATGTTACATAAATGATCAGGATGACAAAACGAGTTCAATTTCGAATGACTGTCTTGCCCGTCCGTCTGGCCGTGATAGCTATAACTTGAGTAAAAATTGAGATATATTGATGAAACTTTCTACATATGTTTCCTGACAGCCAAGGAAAGTCGGTATACCATTAAACGAAATTTTGTAAAGTCATAACTAAGCTCCAAATAAAGATTAAAAACTTTAATTTGGTATAGGAGATCGCTGTAGCAATGAACACTTGTGGGACTGGCCCCACTTCCAAAATGCATAAATGTACATATCTGCCTAACCGCTGTAGCTAAACTTTCTGACAAGGATTCTCTTCAACTATACGTATTGAAATTTAGGGAGAATAAGTTTTTGATGATAGCATGCCTTTGTAGCAAAAATGAGTAAAATCCCTTATTTTCCATATATGTACCTAATATAAATATTTTCGAACTTCCGGTTGATTATATACCGCATCTATCGGTCAATATGTAAGAAATCTTATTGAAATTCAGAAAGAACCTCTTTACAATAACAGTTCACACCCTGGTCTGAAAAAGATGTAATCAGGAAAAAAGCAACTTTGTAGCATTCGTATTATGAAGCGAGTTACAAGGAAATCTATACCCAGTACCATATTTAGATCCTAGGTTCTGTCTTCTTCGCATTATTTATGCTTCGGGATCGCTACCTTATTTATCTGTCAAAACTTTTAATAGTAACAAATGTGTACTTTATAAGCAAAATTTTGTAGAGAAATATTCTGCAGGCACCTCATAATATTTCCCGAAACCTGAATTCTTAAAAACAGGCATTCCCAACAACAAAACATCTTATAGTCTTATTGCAAGCTTAAAATGTTGATCCGTCGATCACGACAATAAATACAGATTGTAAAACTAGAGTTTAAAATTTTGGACTTACGTCTTTTTTCGCTTCTGACGCCAAGTATTGTAAGCTAATTGCTGAAAGCTCATAAAGAACAGCTGAGTTTGAGTTTAGTTAGCCTTTATATTCCTAATGTTAATACTCCGTTGTTTACGCCAAAGTTTAAAATAATAATATTATGCACTACACTTTTAATTTTGCTTCAATGTAAAAGTGTGTGAGCCAATGCGGTCTTCCCTCACGCACACACATTTTCGTTTGTATGTTTGTACGATATTTTTTGCTATCGGCTATTTTGATTTGAGTTGCGGTTTCGTGGTTTGCATTAATTAACAATAGTTTTGTTTGAAATGTGGTTGGGTTTCATTTTGTGTGTTTTTCAAATTCAATAGCGCAAAGCTTGCCTCCAACTACAAGTATATATGTACCCAGCTCTCTTCTGCTGCTAAGTCATTCATTCCTATTCTTAATAGATCTGGAGCAATTTATTCTTACTTACTTATGCAAATATTTACAGTATGCACAAAAGTATGGGTACACAGATAATATATATATGTGTGTGTCGGCGTATTATTACATTGGTTTGACCTAAATCGAATAGTATACCATATGTTTATATATATGTTAGAGTGGGAATTAAATCTGACCAAGGATTAATGTGACTTCAAAATAGTCTCCAGTATATGTTATACGCTTATGCCAATCGTCGAAACACTTCTCAAACTCCATTTTACGATAGCCTTTAGTTTTTTCATCTATTTTGTAAAACAATGGCCTGTTAAGGTTCTATTTATTTTCAGAAATAGGAAAAAGTCACACGAAGCCATGTTTGTCGAGTATGGAGGTTCGGGCATCGTTACAGTATTGATTTTGGCGAAGAATTCACGAATAAGCAACGAAGTATGAGCTTTTAACGAATAAAAATCTCTTAAATATACGCCTTATCTACCTAACGACTACCGAACACAGCTGACAATTTTATCGTATTTCAGCGGAATGTATTATATATTAACATAATAAACAAACTTTGACAATTATTCTCTCAAAACTCGAGAAATTTTAAAATTTGCATTATTTTCTGAACACACGAGCGTCGTTTGAATTTATCTGAACTTGAATGAAATGTTTAACTAACTTAAGCGCCGATTGTAGATAAAAGAAATAGAATTCTACACCCTATGAAATTGTCCCGTCATTTATAACGGTTAAATGCTGATTCAAACTTAAGAACGGTCGAAATTAATAGTCAACATATGTCACCTCGGGCTACCGAGTCTACAGATGTAAGTTTATATGGAAACGGCTCATACTAATTATTTGGTAATTGAATCTACGACTTATCATCTGTTACGATCTCATAGACATATTTCGAAGCACTGATATCGTATTTTTTTAACACGAAATCTTTTTGAGCGATTGTTGTCTTAAACTCACGATAGGCCACATGACGATCTTGCGATATCAGTTTCAACCTTCACGAAATTCGTTTTGCAAAAATCTACGACCTCGATTGAATTCACCACACCATCGATAAACACGGGTCCTTAATGAAGCGTTATGGCTAAAATTTAGATAAATTCATCGATGCACTATTGCTGAGTCAAACCAAGTCGAAAATTGTTAAAAATATCCGCGCGAAAGTGTTCGCGATTTCATTCCATTTTTTGGCTAAGATGAATATTATGAGTTACTGTAAATAACAAAGATAGCGCTAGTATGTCAAAATGTTCTGAATATGTATAACATCAAAAATGTTAAGTTTTACGATAAAGTTGAGTTGTCCGATTGCAACACCAGGGTTGTCAAATCCCGAAATATAAAAGGCAACCTACGTAAATACGAGTTTGTCCGAGCGTATAATTTTCGGTTTTACTTTATTTTTTTTTTTTATAAATATCTGTTATACCTATATTAATATATAATATGGCAACTGCATCCAGAAGCTGAAAATCTGATAACTGCCTACACATTAAACTGAGGCAACTTGCAATATACAATCCGAGATAAGAAAATCCAAGAGGTCTACATTTAACATTATTCTAGATAGGGTGTTTTTTTAGACGTGTGGTTTTCAAGAGATAATAAAACGCATATAATTAAATACTATGGTCAAGAATTTAGCTTTATAACAAAGATAAAAGCTTGCCATTATGTTTTAAAAATTATTTCGGACAAGTGGTTAGCGCGAATAAATTCTAGTTGAGTATTTGGATCAGCGGTGTTGAATCACACGATCTTGGAGGCCACGCCAAAGTCCCACGACGTGTGTTAATGCGCTAAAAAAAATGTCCTCCAATAAACTGATTGTTTTGTTGAATGTATGATATACAGCGCCGTCTTGTTAGAATCAAAAGTCGTTAACATCCTGCAATTCAGGCGTGAAAAAGTCATTAATCATGGCCCTACAGCGTTCCGCATTGACTGTAATGTACGAATATGGCAGGCCTCATTTTTGAAGAAATATGAACCAATGATTCGCTCTTCCCATAGATCACATCAAACATTGACTTTTTCAGGCTGTTATGGTGACTCAGCTATAGCTTGTGGATTATCATCACTCCAAATGCGACAATTTAGTTTATTAAGGTATCTATTCAGGCAAAAGTGAACTTCATCGCTGAACAAATTTTTCTTGCAATGCGTAGGGCCTACCAAACAATTATTTTGGTAATAAATTGGCACGATTTCAAAACGTTGTTCCGGAGTACGTCTGTGGATTATGAAATGGAAAACCAAACTGTTTAGGACGAGTAACAACTGTCCAAAAGATCAACTCAGAACAAAGTATTGCTTCATTGAAAACCATACGATTAAAAAACCCTGCTGTAGTTCAAGTACAATCTTTATGATGCACCCTAGTAAAGACTGGTTATAGATAATTCAACATGTCGTGAAGGATAAGAAGTAATAACGATTTTCTCTATCTGTTAAGCCGTGGAGGTCTGTTAATGAAAAATGTCAGTGTCACAAAGTTTCTTCATAAATTACGCCAAATTCGCATTACAATATTTGTATTATTTTCTTGGCCACATGGAAACGCAGAACGGGATTACCATATTGGTAATTAAATTGTTGACACCATACTGTTTGAAATATTACACAGGTGATATATGCAAATGCGCGAACGTAATACTTTCAGCAATATTTTTCTGTAAGAAACAAAACCTGTGGTAGGTGGCAATTTACAAGGCCTCCTATGCAGCTGCTGAGAATTAAAATTGAAGCTTTTTACGCAATGCGGATGTATGTACCATACATACATATGTGTTTATATAATCACATTATAAAGTAAACTACGGATACAAGGATAACATGTCCTTTGTTTGGCATCGCAAGGAAAAAGACACGAAAAATAAGAAGATTCAAAGCATTAACATGTGTGCATTTTATGTGATTTTGGTGAAAAATGCCTTTGTATGCTTTCACTTCTGCTGCCGGTTACATGGAAAACAGTGTTTAAAAGCTAAAAAAAAAAGCACACCATGGCTCTGCCTACAACGGTGCGACGCTCTTCAGTTTCATACATGGAGATTTGTTGTGAAGAAACCTGCTGTGCCAAGCTTTGCGGGTAGTGTGGCAGTTAGGCAATTTTAAAGTCTCAAATGGTAGCATGCCTTTATGCGTTTTCGTTGTAAATGTTTTTGTTGTTGCTGTCTCTTTGTGTTCCGTTTGCTGGCCTTTGTTGATGTTTTACACACAACGAGCTTCTGTGCCAGGCAATCACAAAGAAGAAGTAGATTCGTGTAGGGTGTGCATGTGTGTCTGCGTAAGAGTGTGTGTATGCTGCAATAACGGTATATATATTCGCATGCGGCCTAATGGGTTATAAAAAGTACGCTTTTTATGGCTTATTTGGCACAATAATTTCACAACATTTCGTTTTTTTTACCTGTAAATTGCGCACACACATACATATTTTCATGCGTACATACACACCTACACATATATTGTACATGCTCACTCGGCTTCCTCTTCTCTTCACGCCTCCGTGTACTCAATTCGTTCATTTTGCCTGCTGTTAAGATTTTTGCATATTATACTTTGCAAAATTGGAATTATTTTTGTATTTGAGGATTGTTTAGGTTTCAAAAAAGAAAAAACGTATACTTCGGCTGCACCGAAGCTGTAATACCCTTCACACCCTTACCCTATATATTTCATAGCATAAAGGATATAAACATTTCAAATATTTATTTAGTTTTTTATCGATCAGATTGTAATGCAGCCACATGCTATAGTGCTCCGATCTTAAACATTAATTTGGGGATTGTACCACTGCCTTTTACAATAATACATACTAAATTTCTTGAAGATATTTCGTCAAATGTATAAGTTTTCTATAGAAGCACTTTATTTCGACCGTTCAGTTTGCTTTAGTGGCCCAATATATGCGGTTCCGACAAATGAGCAGATTCTTGATGATATCTTTAAAACTGAGGGACTAGTTCGCGAATATACATACAGACGGATATGGCTAAATCGACTCAGCTCATCGAGCTGATCAGTTATATATATATTTTATCCGACGCTTCCTTCGTGGTGTTACAAACTTCGTGGCAAACTTAATATACCCTGCTGAGGGTATAAAAGCTGTGTGTGGGTTTTCATTGAGCTAAGTATGTCTTTAAGAGTCAAATATGGCTGGCCTCATGGCTAGGTAAAAATGTATGAAAGTGAGGTTAGGTAAAGTTTGATGCTTTAGATGGAGGATGCTGTTAGACTTCTAAAAATGGTTAGACTAGTAAGACATGTCTAAAAACTAGTTACATAAATTATACGCACAGTCCTTTAAAGCACAGTGACATTGAGGATTGCGTTTCAATTTACTATAGCAGCTTTAATAACCACCGTTTGCGTCTCCTGTTTAGACAAACTGCCCAACTTTATAATTAGTTTAAATTGCTGAATTGATTTGATGATCTACTGATATTTAAAAAGGAACAGGAAAGGAATAACATTGTAATAGCTGTCTTTGATTTGCCATTTATCTGCTCACTCTCTTGTCGAAAAAATTACATGTAAAAACCACACCATAGTTTTACTATTGTGAGTGTTTCAAATAACAAATGCAAATACAAATTTTTTTTTTTTTTGTATTTTCGCAACTTAAGATTTAATATCAATTACTTACATATATATTTTTTCCTGGCATAGACACCGCTCGCGCGGTTATAGCCGAGTTAATATCAGGTCGTTTCCTTTTTACGCTATTTTGCGTCAATTCGAGATACAAAGTGCAGCTAGCCCCTTCTCCAACTGATCTCTCCAACGGAGTACAGGCATTCCTCCAATTCTTTCAGACCTGGAGTGTTCTCATCCATCCGGACAAAATGACCGAGCCAGTGTAGCCGTTGTCTTTCGATTCGCTGAACTATGTCAATGTCGCCTTATATCTCGTACAGGTCATCATTCCATCGACAGCGGTATTTGCCATTGCCAAAGCGCAATATACCATAAATCTACAGCAAAACCTTTCTCTCGAACACTCTTAACGCCGACTCATCAGATGTTGTCATTGTCTATGCCTCCGCACCATATAGCAGGTCGGCAATGATGAGAGAGTTGTAGAGTTAGGTCTTAAATTTCCTGCTCAGTCCAAAGTAGCAGCTGTTGACAAGAATAATTCTGCATTCGATTTCAAGGCTGATATTGTTGATACTGGTTCGAGATAGACGAAATTATGTACGACTGCAAAGTGGTGAAGTCAACAGTGACCGGTGAGCCAAGTCACGCATGCGATGACTGTTTGTTTGATGGATTTGATGGAGAAAAATAAACGGTTACAGCAATGCGAAAACGAGGATTTCTCCACTAAGAACGAATCATAACACTATTGCGCATGAGTTGCACCAAAAATGCTGTCCGTTTGTTTGAGCATCTGGTATAGTTTGTTCTATTCGGTGTAGAGTAACGCTTGGCGAATCGAAGACAGCTAATCTTAGAAAAGTTGAAGAATTCTGTTGCACAAAATTTTGTGCCGTCTTAATATTAAAGGCCGTCGAGAGCGTTGCTGGAGTTTCAAACTTAGATCTGTTACCGCCATGGGTTTAAGCAGTTAAAAGGTCGGATAGGGTTCTCTGTAGAAACCCTATTTTCATCTGAATTCATATTTTCCCCATTTTATTACGAATATTTATCTTTAACATTTTGATAATTCGCTAGGCATTGAATAGGCCTACTTTCTTTTAAGTAAGTTCTTACCACCCGCCGTAGTTGCTTAATAAAGGCTAAGTTGTTCAGATGGTAAAATTTCCTCAGTTATGGATTCAAATAATTAAAACATAATATTACATAAGATTGTGGTTATCCTATAAGAATAAAAGCATCCTAAAGATTTATTAACTTTAAATTTCACTTTAACAAAGTGGCCCGTTTGCTGCTTGCTAAATCATCCAATCGTTAATCAACTTTTTTCATTCCCTTTAGTATCTTAATATTTTAAAAAATCTGCATGACCATGAATGTAATTGACTTCGTCTGAAAGAAACAGCTCAGTCGTCTTTATCTAGTATTCCAAGTTTATTCACTTTTTAAGAATACATTATTTTTTCTTCATCACCACTTTAACTATTTTGTCTGAGAAGATAATGAGAATGAGTTCGGAGAAGAAACCGAAATTGAGGGTAATTTCTCAAAAGGAAATGAATTAAGCTGATAGATTCAGTAGGTTAAGCTGGCGATTTAGTGATACTTGTATAAGAAAAACTCGAACTTATAATGAAATTAAGTCGGAACTGATGTTATTTTATAAATATTTTGACTACAAGATTATGATAGGTGGCACTAAGTAAAATGTATGATGTAGATAGTTTTTAAATAATTAAGAGCTGCTGATTATAATATCATAATAGAAATAAAAATATTTGAGTCAAGTCAGTGCAATTATTTATGGACTGGGATAAACATAGTTCAAAGTTTTAGTTAGTATATTAGATAAGAATATTCGAAAAACTTGTTGAGATTTGTGGTAATATTTTAAAAAATTCAAAAGAGTCCCATATTTTGCTTTTAAATGCGAATGTCATTTCAAATTTTCAAAGTTAATATACCTTCCACATGAGTGTCATAAATCGCCGAAATAATGGCAAAATTACATAACTGCCAACACAACCTACAAAGCTGACATAAAATGTATATGTGGTTTGCAATCTCAACACACGTGTTAAACTTTTTGTTTTACAAGCCTTACATTATTTCGCTTTTAATGCGTTAATAAAGACATGGAGCTTATATCTGGCATTAAATTAATTTTGCATTAGAAATGAAGCCGAATTAACGCTGAAGCAGGAGAGAATCTCCTGTGTACCCACAGTGAACAACCTTTCACGGTTATGCATAGCTGTTACCTTTATTGGCATGGATGCTTGTAGATATATTATTATATTGTACATATGTGCATGTGTGTGTAATGTGGTTTTGGGTGTAATTGTGTATGTGTGTCTGTATTTGTTTGAGAGGTTTGTGTACTTTTTTAGCTCATCTTAACTGGCGACTCGCTATCCACAACTGTTTATACATATTTAATGAAACGTGACCTTTTTGATATCCCAATGAAATGTTTTCTCCTCTCTCTGCTTCCAACTTTGTTTGCAGCCTTTACGCATTTAACTAATAAATCGTATCTTCCGTGGAGCCACCAAAAGCTGTTCATTTGCTATTGAAAAATACATCGCTTCTCTGTCGCCTCACCTATTTATGTATGTCTTCCGATGCGATGGATGATACGCGAGCGATTGGTAAAATGAGTAAAAGGCGAAAACCTTCATTTGATTATGCAGCGACCGAACGTTGGTGTAACACGCCTCGCCAGCTGCCAGTCACCAGCGCAAGAACGACTGATGTTATCGTAATGCTCATGATGGCCTTTCTGGTCGCCATCGCTACAACCAGCACAGGTGAGTGGAATAAACGCAAATACATTTATTCTTGTTTACACGTCCATTTTCAGCCATAAGTACACCTACGCTTACATCCATACATACATACAAAACATATTGTACACGTGTACAAATGTGGAAAAAATGCAGGAATGCAATTAACATTGAAGTTAATAATTGAAATTTATGTATTTGTGGTTGCATCAGCACACAATTTAGTATTTAACTTGTGGTATGCAGCTATGTGAACATACATTAGGGTTGTACTCAACTAGTAAGTGTACAATATTCAAGTTAACCCTGGAAATGGTTCTCGAAAGCACTTCGTTACGACATAATTCGATGATGTGTTCCGACCAGATCTAAAAAATTTCAAATATATAACCGTGCCGATGAAGATGAGTAGGAGATTTTGAATTCATTGAAATCATACTGCTTAAAGAAAGTAATATTATTTTGAACACTCATTTTAAGGCTAAGTACCTATAATATTTTTTCAAAGGGCCTATTATATATACGTAATTGTATATATAATATGTCTTCAAAAAGCACTTTATAAAGATGGGAATAAGGCACGAAGCATATGAAATAAAACAAAATTGATTTCCGTGGGAAAAATACTATGTCTCGCAAACTTAAATCTATTACCAGAAAGCAAAGTATGTTGGGCGGTAAAAATTTCAAGACCTTCAAATCGCCAGAAATTGACGGTATATTTCTAATCGTATATTTCTGGTTAATAACCATTCTCAAAGGGGCACTGCGGTTAAATTTTATTCTCTCGCTATGAAGAGTTAAGGTAATATATATATATAATGTGGAAAAAACTTTTCATATATGTTCAAAGAATTTCAGAGAACTTTTAAGAGATTAAGAAAGCTAATAGTTATCCTCAGAAAAACTGGCAGTTTCGTAACATGTGTATTTAAAACAAAAAAAAAAAAAGCCACAGAAACATCACTGAACTCGGTGACAACAGAGCCTGAAAAATCTCTGGAGGTAAAAGAATACAAATAATGATCTTGAACATAAAAGGCGCTTTCAATAACATTTAGCCTAAGATCATACTGAGCGCGTTTTAATATCTGAACATCTCCAAATGGGGACTTTCGACGCGTATAACTCATTGGTTCTACACAGCAGTTGAAAGACCGTATGAAACATAGAATAGCTAGAATACGCATCAGTGGAGCTCTTAGAACAATGCCAAATCATTCATTTTACATTTGTTGCTTACTGACGTGTTCTGTAAGTAAGTTTCAGCGAAGTTAACTCTTAGATTGAGAGAATCCTCCTTATCAGTCGTCTGTAATAAGGGACATTATCCGATACTTAGCATGTTTCCGTTTCTACCCAACAACCTTAACAGCCTTCTTTTTCTGACAAAAAGTGTGCTCACAAAAAGAAAAATATTTACATATATATACGCTAGCCAAGCGGCTTTGAAATTACTAAAGTCTCTTAGGGTTTCATCGAAGATAATGAAAATGTGCCTTGATCTTTTAGGGGATCTAACATTCTATTTCACGATAAACCTGAAATGAATAAAAGAGTTCCAAGGCACAGTGATATTCCTGCAACGCCCTATAATTAGAGGAGCGCTAACATATTGGTAAACATGCAAGTAGGCTGGAGGTATGATACAACGACTATTGTAGAGAATGCCCAGAGGTGGACGAAGAAGAGACAACTATAGGTCGAGGATTTCTTGTCGATGTCTTTGAAGCTTTTTATATTGATGAACTGGAGCACACGGTGGTTCAGAGAGGACATAATAGAGTGGGATATTAGTCCTAGTGGTTTCACAACGAGCCTCCTATAGGCCTGAGTACGTCGTCAGACATCCACCCTACCAAGGTATTGATTTTGTTTGGCCAGTTTGTGTGGCAGTTATATGCTTTAGTGATTCGATATGAAAAATTTTTTCGGAGATATAGCGGTACCTTAATTATGTTAATAAGCTATGCCAAATTTTGAGAATATAATTATCAAATAAAAAGGATTTCCATAAAAAGACTTAAGTTTGATCAATTAGTTTGTATAGCCAATATAGGATAATTGGTCTGATATTGACGACTTCAACAAATGAGTATCTTTTTAGAGAGAAATTAAACTAAATTTATTTGCAGTTTAATTGTTATTGACGATTATCATAATGCCATAGGCATACTAGGGACAATTCGAAACTCGAACCTAAAAACTATTTAATGAAGAAAACGATCCACCCTAGTATGCAGGTACAAATACGAAGATCGCAATGTATTCAAACTGGTATGCAACGGTATAATAGTTTTAATCATTGGATAATTACATTTTTGTAGGTTAAGTATGTATAATACCCAATATTTTGCTTAAAATATTGTATTTTAACCGCATTTAATACTTACAACTCTTTATGTATGTACCAAAGTTTAATTTATGTAAAGGCGAAAAATTTAAACACTTTTTATGAGAAGCAAAGTGAAGACTTAACTTTGCAAATCCGCTATTACATAAAAGTAATACCCAGCTAGATCGCATCTGGTGGGTGCAACTCTTTTAACATTTTGAGTAATTCCCTTGTTACTCAAATCGGTTGAAGTATATATTGTAGAAGGCATTATGAGAAGATAAATCTCTTTAATCGTCTCCACGATTTTTTTTTTACGTTCGGAACCATTTTAACTTATTTAATGTAGCTGTATAGTACTATGCTGCACTTTCACCAGCCGACAATAAATCAATTGATATAAATTTTTGTATTCATACGTATTAAGAATGGATCAATTAAGCTAAAGTAAACGAAAAGCTTTCGCCTAATAGTGAAAATACTTTATTTAGAACAAAAAAAAAATCAAAAACAAAAGCTAATAAGATATACAACCCTTTACAAATACAAAATATTTCTTACAAAACTTGTTTCTTATCAGATTAATTTGTATGGCAGCTATATGCAATAGCAATCTTAACAGTGATGAAATAAAAAAGTTTTCCTTACAAGAACTTGATGCTATTCGTTAACTCTGTATAGCAGCTATGTACAATAGTCATCTGACCTGAACAATTTACTCAACAATCATAGTGTTGCTTTGGAAAATAATCCATGTTAAACTTTAAGACGATATTTCGTCAACTAAAGAGTTTTCCATACAAGAATTTGAGCGACATATGAGCCGCTTCTTGGGGAGAAATGGATGTGGGCAGAATTTCAGATCGATATCTTAAAAAATTAGTAATTATTTCGGGTATATACAAACAGACATACAGACGGACATGACTATATCGTGTTACAAACTTCGTGGCAAACTTAATATACTCCGTTCAGGGTATAATTAAACGGTATTCATTTGTTTTCTGCAACTACTGAATTATATCGATTTTTTTTCCAAGTGAAGATCATTATATTTCTAACTCCTTTCTCAAGTATTTGGATTGCTTGTGGCCTCATCAAAACCATATTGGAATTAATTTCCCTCACTCTAGTAAGGAATATTTTGAAAATAAGGTGCATTTAAAAGCTAAAAAATTAGATAATTTATCCAAGCATATATTTCATAGTTTAAAAACAAAATAGCGACAAACAAATTTCTTTTTCTATTTTAGCGTAAGTACTTAAAGGAAATTCTCTGCTATTGATATCCTATCCTCAATGAGTCTACTCATTTATGAGCTTTATTCAGATTTCAAATAATTAACTTATTGTAATAATGAAGATTTAAGTTATTGTAGATTCTTAATTTAGTAGATTATCTAATTGTTAGCACTACTATGTATTTACATTTAAGGATATATAGTTTATTATCTCAATTAAGGATCGTCGGGAACAACGAATATATTTTATGTCTGTCTGGAATTTTTTAGTGTAAAACCTGCTATTTTCCACACTAGTTTGTCACATATGAATTTGGTATTCTCGTTTGAATACAATATTTAATGAAAACGAAAAAGTAATTTCTTTTAAGCTTTTGACACATTTTTGTTTTTATGGCTAATTATGGTTAACTCTTTATTATTGTGATTCGAAATATGATATAAAGAAAATTTAAATACAAATAAATGTTTAATGATTTAAATGCTAAAATAAATGGAATTTATTTTTTTTGTTTTTATATTTTTTTTTTTATATTTTTCCTCAAACTCATTTTTTTTCTTTAAGTGAAAATGAAAATAAATACGTACGTAGTCATGTATACTATCTCTGCAAAGAGTTTTCATCCAAATTATTTTTTTATGATTTTATATATTGTACATATATTTACATATTCGTGTATGTAGTGATACATACAGTGCGCTCAAAACATAATGTTTTTCTATTGTTTTTCGAATTAGCACATGTTCAACTGCAATCACTGCTGTGTACAATTCGGTCAGTTTTTTTCCGATCTTCTTAACGTCGTGCTGTGAAACATGAAAAATTAGTGATCACTATGGAAACAAGAAAATCATATAGTTACTTTAGATTAGACATCACATCCACCGGACACCAATCCAATAGAGAATGTTTGGGCCAAGATATCAATAGAACATATAACGTCAACAAAATATTTCATTCGGCTATTCCAACATACCAGGGTCGCTTCCGGAAAATTTAGTTGTAAGTTGCCATCGAAGATGGATGGCTATAATAGACAATGCGAGAGATTAGAGCAAGTATTGAATAAACTTCAGCTTTTTCGCAATAAAAGCTACCTACAATTTGGAAAACGAAAATGGTAATTTTTGAACGCACTGTATGTATATAAAAACGTATATATGTATGCTGTTAAACGTTTTGCATAAAATTTATTTTCTAAATGACAATTTCAATGCTGATGGCAGCGATATTGATATATCGGTGATTAAAAATGCATATGCAAACATGCATGCTGTCAATTCTCGGCGCTCATTCAGCTCAGCTCAGCCTGTTGCAAAAGAGTCTAAAACCTATTCGTTCGTGCGTGTTCATGTGCGAATGCGATAAGCAAACAAATTTTCAAGTCCAACCAAACAACCAAATCAATGCAGAGACCACAAATGGAGTTATAGGAATCATTGTCTGTGTATCTGTATCAAATGCAAACAAAACAACATTAACTTTCAAATATATGTATTTGATACAAAGATACATATGTATATTACGTATTCAAACTGTCTGAAATTGTTTGCTGTGCTACATTTAACATGGCTGCCATTTTGGCTCAAAGTATCATCTTCATCCAATATTGCTGGCAATTCGGCGTCTTCAGACTTTTTTTGGTGGTCTTCACATTCTTTATTTCTTTTATCAAAATCATTATCTCTGAACCTTTGAAATCATCTTTTGCATGTTGCTTCTGATAGAGCGTGTGATCATTATACGATTTAACAAGCATTCGATGCCATTCAGCATCACTTTGCTTCAATTGGAAACAAAATATTAATGTTTTCCGCAAATCATCACTTTCCGGTACAAAATTTGACATTTTCAACCCAATGAAAATATATGAGTTGTTTGTTCAATGACTATAAGGTTATTGAATATGTTTGACAGATGTAATGCCACCCAAATAGAAAAAAATTTAGGCTCATTCACAAGAAATGTTCACTACCAACACATTTGTATCCTAACGATCCCTTCATATACAAGTTTATACATTTTATAAGGTGTCCGATTTTCCTTTTGAGTGTTACAAAGTTAAACATAACCGAATATACCCAATTCCGAGTATAATTTTTGTTGTACTGTTATCCTATCATTGATTCCCTGTTTCTTTGCTCGTTAAGTTTTAATTTTGCTCAAAAAGTTTATATGGTAAATCAGGAATATGCTCACTGTAACTGGTATTCTAGATATTTCTATTAAGATCTCAATAACATACTTTTAAAGTAAACCATATGTTTGTTCGGTACGCCGGACGGAAAATATAAACTATTTGTGGGCTTAACTTCTGTTTTTAACAAAATTTCCCTATATATTCTTGATTCATTTATATAATTACTTTTCAGTTACAATACATTATATAAGGTTGACTGTTCAATTTTGATACCACAGAGATCTGGTTCAGAGGCGGTTAAGTATTGTTTTTGTCGTCCGAATATCAAGGAGCGTAAAGTAAAGTGGCTTTTCTTTATTTCTGAACCTAACATATAACAAATAAGAAGAATTACCATTAGCACCTAAGTTGCATCGATTTAATGAACAAAAGCTGAAAAATTAACCCTATAGGTGTGCATTCCAAACAAATCGGACCATTAACGGTTCCTACAACTGTGCTACTATTTTCCGCCTACGTACTACATACATCAGTGTCTAGTAAGTAAAGCCACAAACACTTAACTCAATTTGTAAATGCCACCTGCACCTAACCTCCTATAATGGCATATTCTTGCCTCCTTGGTATCAACATAAGTGTAGCAAACTCAAACTCAATGGGCTGTGCAACTTTGTCATTACCGTCAGCGCTGTCACACTCACCTCTCACACTATAATTTCATTCTTTTTGTACCTGATTCCCTGACTCAACAGTGTCATCATCAGCAACATCGTCTTCAACAGCAGAATCATCGTTGAAGTCAATGTAATCTGCAAACCCCTACGCTTTCAATGAACCGGAAAAGAAGCGGGGCAGAAAGGAGTACTAAAAATCATGACATTGGTGAAGCGGGAAAACCGAGGAAGTCGGCTGAGCAGAGCTTTTACTGTTTCATATGCATTTGCAACTTCTCAACCGTGGTAGTAATTACATCTTCTTGGTTTCAGTTTAATAGCAAAAACACATTTTAGATTTAATTTTTTTCAAAGAAAACTTTTTTTCTGACTTTTGCTTACATACAGAGAAAGAGTTGTAAGTGAGTATCCTTTCCGTTTGGTGTTTGTTGTTAAGCTCGTGTAACATGTTGTATAGGTAAACTAGTTTTGTTGAAATGTCTCATCCAAAGTCCTTTCATATATATAGTGTTACTTTTCAGAACTGATAAATAAAAAATAATGCTAAAACCTTAGAAAATGTTACGATAAAAATAAAGCCGATTTTTTCAAAGATTTAAATGTATGAGCGTAGCATCAACCAATTCCAGGCTTCTCAAACTTCCTGAAAATTGTGGTATGTTGTCCAAAAAATTAAAAATATGAAATATATAACGGTATCAAAAATGGGGTAGATTGAAACTACGCCAACTTCGGTTCAAAGGTAAAGGTGCCTGATCTTGTTCCATTTTACTGCGGCACATTTAGATTTGACTTCCAATAAGATCGAAGCAACAAGTCATATATCTGAATAACATTTCGTACAATATTTGGTGTTCAATATAAAACACTGCTCACAAACCCTGAATTTGACAAAAATTTGTTTCTTCAACTAGAATTGATTTTCGTAGAGTTTATGGAAAATGAATTCTGTAAAGTCTATAATGACACAGTAAGAGGTTGAAAGCCGATTCATGAGAACGTTACAAACTTTTTAAAGTAGTCATCTATTTATTTTAATGATGTTAACACTAAACACTAAAAATTTTCATTGAAAAAAATTCATATTGGAGAGATGACAAAGGCCACGAGGATCAGTTCAATACATTTTTTCATGTCGTGTCTAAGCTTTTCTAATACCTATAGACATGAAGCTCCTTCATGAGTAGATCTCGTAAAAAACGACATGCCACGAGATTAATAGTAGTCATGGAAAGAAGCTTAATATATTTATATAAAGTCTTAACCGTCTAACCGTTGACCTAACGGTTCGTCAAAATCCAGAATAAATTCGTTCAAAACTTGACGTCTAACAATTCCTTCGAAGCAGCGCGGTTTATGGGCCGACAATTTAAGGCTTTCCCGGAACGTCAATATATTCTTACTTTCAAGTAAGGAAGAACAAATGTTATAACAAGCATCAGAAGAAGCAATTACTTAAATTTCAAAATATCGATATTTATACTGATATATGATTTAGTTAAAACACGAATTTTCCGTCGTCTAACTACGGTAGAAACATTCCTTCTTTTTTTATCATTTCGAAAAAATATTTAGGACAGAGTACGGAGAAAAATTAACAGATTAAACATTTTACAACAATTCTTGAGATTCAGCTCTAAATGCCGATAGTTCACTGAAAGTGAAGTTGATCTTATGATTTATGCTACATAAGATATACATATATACAATGTACTTCCATACACAGCTTGTAAGAGACCAAAGTTGCACAATTTGTTAGATTCCAGTACTGCAGGAACTGGACTAAAGTCGATCTAAACCAAAAAAATAAATTCCTTGCAGGAATTTAAAGTTATTTCGGTTCAAAGTAAAAATCTGGATTAACATTTAGCATGCATTGAATATACCCTTCAATTCCAGGTAAGCTGATTGTAAAAGCAGTGGCAGTATGCACACCTGGACTTCGTCCGAACTTAGCTCTACCTTTTTTGTTTTCGTACAACACATATAATGCTTTACATGGTTTCTGTTGAACATCCTGCATGTGTTGCAAGTTGCACTGTTGCACAACGTCGCAGCTTTATTGAGTTTGTTCCCTGCAATTTCCTGTTTGCTCGTGCGACTTTTAGACCATTTGTTTAAACGCAGTTGGAGCTACAAATACAAGGGTGTAATTACATGAATGTGTCTGTCACTAGGCCTGCAACTTGCACGGGAATTGCAAGTGAGATTTGTAAAAGATGCACTTGAACCCATTGCGGTTTATTACATAGCATGTGTCTCTAACAAATGTGAGTTATGAGTCTTTATAATGGGTGTTGATTTTTGACTTGTCGTTTTCAATGAATTAATACGTTTTTCGGAGTTAGTCTTCTTCTCTCGGCTGGAATTTATTCAAACCACCATAAGCTGTCAGTTCCCCAAAGCCATTTTTAAAACATAATGGCAAAACCTTACCTTTATAATAAAGTTAAGTCTTCATCATAAAAATATATTATATGCGTTTTATTTCTTCTTGAAAACCGAATGTGTGAAAAAGATACCCTTTTTCAATTTGTTGCCACCAACCCCTGTCAATCAAACACCATCGCCGCTAACAAACACTCATCCGGGCATTTTTCCAATTCAACAAACAAGTAACCAAACGCAAGGCGGAGCCAGAGCAAAGACAAACCCTTGCCAATTCCGGCAACTGTTTGCTTGGGGTTTGTAAAAGGCATAAGCGGCGACTGCAGCGCCTACATAGCTGTTAAGATTATAAAGAGCTCTGCGAAAGTGTGCTGCTGGTAAGGTAGATTTTCTAAAGAGCCAAGACAAACTGCCTGAGACGTTGTGAGCGGGGCTGCTGCTAATACTTGTAACCCAAGCGACAGTAAAGCAAAGCATATAAAAGGGTTTGAAGTAAACCGTTGAAAGCAGCGAAGGAAGTAAAAAAATGTGTAAATAGGAAAGAATATTTGTGAAAGAAATAAAGAAAGATAATATCTAGCTGGCTTGGGCATGATTGCTGTCTGGTTTTTAAGCTTTTAGCCGCAGTGTTACTGGAAGGATTGTAGCAGCTGTCCGGCTCGAAGTGCTCTTTCGATTATCTACAGTTAGCATCAGCAATCATCGCATTTAACGTTAATTTCTCTGACTGACAAATAAATACTTTGAATGCTAAGAATTAAATCAAAAATTTGCCATCTCATAACTTTAAATGCACACATATTAACAATGTGACAAATTAATATGTCAGCCGGCGCTGCATATTTTTTTAATGCCTACTTCGCTTTATTTATTTTTTGTGTTATTCTTTCAGACGCTTCCAACTACTTTGACACACAAGGGCCTAATTTCTCGCATGAGCCACCATCGCGCATTGAATTCACCAACAATGCCGGTAGCATTGCCGATTGCATAGCGCACGGCAACCCGCCGCCGAACGTCGAATGGCTTGATAAGGACAATAATCCCATCACCTCGATATCAAAGGTAAGATTTATTCTGTCTCAAACTTTGATAACAACTACAGTTTGGCATGAAAACCCCTAATGCAAACCTTATTTATTTTGCAACTTTATTATTTTTAGCTCTCTTTTTCCGCTATAGCAGCTTTCTTTTGACTGTTGAAGTTGTTTACGATATTTCCGCAAAATTGAAATTTTCTTAAAAACACTTTGTGGAAATGTTAGAAAACCTTTCAACTTTTTAGCTTAGGTTGAATAACTGAGCAGACATTCAATCCCTAAATAAGCTTAAAGTACCAAATAATATCAATATTATAATATATTATATTTAGAAATATTCGATAGAGGCCAAATCCTTTTCTGATAATAATTAGAGCTGTTTCTAAAAATAGCTAGAACCGATTAACATATTTCCTCATATATGAAATGTAATGATTTTAGAACTACTGCTGGACTTTATTTTATTTCCATAAAGAAATAATCTAATCTCTTCGGCATTAGTCTCGATCAAGTGAATGTTTTTAATTTGTAGTCCGTTATATATGTACATATTTCCATAAATTGTCATCCAAAATTTGATAAAGTTTGAAATAATAGACATATTAAATATTGCGAGTTTGGTGTTTAGTTTAGTGGATCGATCGAAGTTAAGAGGAAGGTAGCATTAGTTGTCATGTCTCCTTGGAAGTGGTGTGCATTCACTCCGACAGCCGAGTGGATATACTGGATTTAAGTTCTCTGACTGTCACTCAAAACTAGTCAAAGAGTGTATGACTTTCTTAACAATAGCTGCTTCCATATTATTAAAGGAGTGTCAGCAATAGCATCAAGTTGAGCTCGGAAAGCACTGACAAACAACCAGAACGTGTGCGATTGCGAGAACTTTCTGGCTCAGAGTGAACCCTAAGAGGTCCACCAAATTACTCGTTCTTTGCGAAGTCAATCTCGCTGCAATTGTAGGTGTTCAAAAGGTTCACACGCGATGCGACTAAATATTTTGTCGGATGCTCTTCTCCAGAGCTGTATGGAGGAAAGCGATTTGGAATCATCTTGTCACTTTCTCCTCTATTGCCAGGCTTGTGGAAGAAATGCATCTTAATGTCTTTGCAGCTTATAAATATTATATATAACTGTGGTCTTGCTTTAAAGTTTATGCACCGTGCGTTAAATTGCGCGATTGCATGGCTATAATAAAACTTTGTTAGACTCTCTTGCTGGCGCAAGCAGTAACACTAAACCGGAAACATGAGCCGCAACTCGAACAATGCATGTTACAGTAACAAAAAGCTAAAGAACTGCCACCAACATGGAAAATCAAATACAGAATAGCAGCAACAAAATTACAAAAAAAAGCAACAAACACTTACGGCCGACCTGAAGGAAGGACACGGGCGCGGCGAGCGTCAGTTTCGAACAAATTCAATCAATAACCACTTGAACCAAACTTCCGGCATTGGCGGCTGGGCTGAGTTATTTCGATATGGCAACGACAGTAGAGGTTGTCGATTGGCGGGTGGAATCGTAGGAGTATCAAATATAACAGTGAGAAGGGCGGGCGCAGTTGGGAAGAAGACAAATAAGGGTGTTGTTGGTCAGAAAGATTTACGGGCGGTCAGACAATGTAGCAGCTTCGCATTTTATTTCGCACAACAAATACTTTAGGAACGTCGAGTACAATGCAGCAACGAGCAACGAGCGAAGTCAATGCTCGACTGCTATTGCAATGGGTACAAAAATGTGGCAATGGCAATGCAACCAGCAGTGGCAGGTCGCGGAGGTCGTTGCCTGTGTGGGAGTCCTTGAAACTATAGATATTATATATGTGTGTGTGTCTGCGTATATTTTAAGCTTGCGACTGTTTTTGTTCTCTTACTGGGAGCCATCTCACCTCTTTGATGCACTTCTCATTAATGTCTGTCATGAATTTCTGTATCCCTGTACTTTTGGTGCCAATAGCCGATTATTTGTTGCAATATTTTAGAGTTCATGTAAGAAAATAACTGCTGGTATCTCTCAAGTGCCGTAACAACGCGCCTTTCCCCGCTTACAAAAGAACTACGTTATTACACTTACATTTCGCAATGGTTTCGGAAAGCAGAGAAATCAGACATTTTTGTGATAAAAAACTATGAAAACTTATTTTCAATTTTCATTACATTAAACTGCTTTTTCAATATATTTACATTTTTACATTTCTCCTTCTACTCCCTGCTAATCTATTTAACTTTCCTTTGCAGGTCCGTCATATACTCGCCAACGGTTCACTTTATTTTCCACCCTTCGAGGCGGAGGAGTTCCGCCAAGATGTCCATTGGTCCGTGTATCATTGTGTAGCCAGCAATGCTGTGGGTACAATTGTTTCTCGTGATGTTGTGGTCAAAGCAGGTAAGTACGGCGATAAGTTGGAACTAGAAATGTGACAATCACAATCGTTCTCATTAAATGTGTATGCACAGCAATTCACAGCAATTTACCATTTATCAATTCAATGCAATGTACTTGAGTTTTATGGAATTGAGTATTGAACATTTTTATTACTCGCAAATTATTTGCCCCATTCCCTGGTTATATGAGGATTCTATTAGAGGAAAATATGAATTTCAAACATATACATAATGCCTACATTTATGCGAAATTTTAATTTATTCAAACTAATAAAATATTGCCTATATTTCGGCAATTTATAAATACTTTTCGTTTATTGAGTGACATAATAGAGTTCTCTCTGTCTTTTCCCTTATGCCACCGCAATTTTAAACGCAATAATGAAATTAGTGAAGTATTTCAAAATTAATTAAATTTCGATTTTCACTACATAATTGTCATGGAATTCTGAAATAATTTTTCATTGCAATGTTATCAGGAGATTGGGTATGTTTACATAATTAGACTGAACATGGAACGGCTAAAAATGTAGATAAGTTACCAAGAACTCCTGAATATGAATTAAAAAGACCGTCGCATATCGACAAGGCAATTTGAATCTGACATATACTATTTATTGAAACGGCTAATATCGATTCCACTAAATTCGATAAAGGTATGACTACCGAAATGCCACCTCAGCTTGAAAAAAAAATATTGTGGTCTCGTAGCCTGCAACTAGAATGAATGAGAAGCTCCCGATAGACCTTCCACTTTGGTCCACCCGTGAGTAATCCCATATCGCCCAGTCCACATGTCCCTCGTAAACGGTATGTTGCGAGTCCAATCTTCTTGAAACTATTGTATAGACCATGGAGGCTGAGAGTAGAGTAAAAAGATAGGTGAGGTAAGAAAGGTTGTTGCTCTCGGCAACAAAGAGTTTTTTGACCTGCGGAAGCAAAATTTCTCTGTAAGGTTACTGCTATCAGAATCTAATTATTCAGTGGTATAAAAACATTATCATCACTCACAGCACTATTCTATTATATTATACATATGTTAGGTTGGCTTTGAGTAGATAAATCTTGTTTAAAACCTAGTGTGTACATACATATGAGTCGAGAAACACTTAAACGGGGCCGTCTATATAATTATAAGCAAAACTCCAATAACTGAATGGAGAAGAGGTTTAGAAGGAGACGAGAATATTATCTATCTATACTATATATCTATACCGACGGGTCCAAATGGACTGCGGCTAGGGACGGGGTATAATCCGAGAATTTTGCTATCTTTCTCTCTATCCGTCTACTAAAGTCAGCTATCATCTAGGCATAGAGAAGGACTGTGAAGTTCTACTGAATAACGACGGGAGGAAACAGCAAGTTACCAATTTACAGATAGCCAGGCAGCATTTGTAGTCTTGTCGTCCCCAAAATCTCTTTCCAGCGTGGTCAACAAGTGTAGGAAGGCTTTAAGCTCTTTGGCAGGTCAACTTCACTTGTTCATATTTTGGGTCCCCGGTCATAGGAACATTTTTGGCAACGAAAAAGACGTAGCATTTCTAAACTCTATAATACAGTTCTCGCTAGGAACGATCAAGGGGAGGTCAATACATAAGTTGAACATATAGTTTAGATAGCGAAGCAGATATGGCCAATATATGACAAGACAAGAGCTAAGGACTTATTAAATAGGTCCAGGAACAGTATGTACAGACGTACAGCTACCATAAGGGGGCATGGGTCATTTGGAGAAAATACGTTAAAAATGGGAATGCCCTGTAACAATATTTGCCGCAGCTGCAAGCTCGAAGAGAGTATGGAAGGTTACATACTTCCTCTGTGAGTACCCAGCACTATCAGAAATCCGACATAGAACTTTTGGACTCCATTGGGTATGAAACCAAGAAATCTATCTACAAAAAATATAACCGAGGACACCAAATGATTTGAACACAACGAAGAAACGAGATAGTAAGATTTAGAGGTCTTACAATAGTGTATCGAAATGCCACCTACATACCTAAAGGTAGTCCACGCTCACTCCAAACGCAAGTCTGTGTAAAAATTAATTTTCTATCGATTTTATCGGTATTGTTAACTTCAATTTTACTATCGTCAAAAAGAAAATAAAACTTAAAATTTCATTAACCTGACACAATCCTCGTCTATTTTATTGAACACTAGTGTAAATCCAACACATTTTTACTTTATTTTGTATGGACATATGTCCATACGAGTATACAAATTGGGCGTTTGCCTGCAGCTGCTCGACCATTAACAATGCACGAGTATTTTGGGTCAAAGTGTTTGTTAAATTAAAAAGAAAATTTTTAACCAAAATTTATGTGTGCGCTATAAAAATACTTCCACTGAGCCCAGGCAAAACGTGTTATATGCTTTTGTGTAAAGCTTTGCATGCCAAACGCTGAGAAATGTGGAGAGGAAATGAACAAAAAATTTTATGGCTATCATGAAAGGGTTTCTGGTGTTTATTCGGAAATTTACATTTCCTTGCCGCATCTTTATTGAGTGAAATTTGCCAAGAGCCCACCTAAGATGATGTTGTGCAAATAAATTTGAAAGCTACGAATATTTAAAGGAAATAGATATGTGTGTACGTATGTAAGCAAAGCTTTGAAGTTGGGTGAGAGGCCTTTTTGAAAATTTTAAAAATATGTAAATATGGCCTAACGGAGTATTTTTAATTGGGTATGCATTGACCTAACTATATATGTATGTGTATATATAAATCATTAAGCTTTGTGGGGAAAAATTATAAGAGCCAAGAAATGGTCAAACTAAACAAATGAAAGCATTCCGTTAGATGCCTGCTACAAACGGAGTAGGCGTCAGATAAGATATTATGCTCCCTTAATTTGTATGTAAACGTACTGGCTGTACAGAGCATCATCAGTTTATCTTGTGTTTTCACTCAAACAATATTAACCAATGAATGTAGGCCTAGTATGGACATACATCCTTTTGTTACTACACTTTAGTCACCTTTTAGGTCTTGAAATATCTGGAAGAACTATATTTTTATCGGATCCACATCTGTAATAAAATCTCTACTAACACTGTATATCTGTAAAATATCTCAAAATACATGTATATATTGTATAAATATCGAAACCATAAAACAGTAGCAGCATCAACATAGGACCCAAGAGTTGTGCGCAACAATATGGTAATTGTAACAGCTTTTGCAAAACTGTGTTAAGGCTGAGTGGGAAAGAACGCCCCAAACCGGTTAAACGTCTAAAGTAATATTTTCATTGACCTTTTTGAAATAACAAATGAACACATATGTATAAGTAATATAAAAACAAACGCAAACCTACACATATATAAAGTAGCTACATACATACATAATAAATGGCACGCTGGCAATGCATAGACGACAAAACAACACACGCACAAATGCATAGCACACAAGTTACTCACTCTACAGCAAGAGAACGCGCACAAGTAACGTAGCATATACTTAGGCAGTTAAGCCGAATGCTACATTTGAACCCATTTTAAATGGCTCAAGTGCTCTCTGTTGTTGTTGTTATTATTTTTTTTTATGCCTCGCATTCCAACGCCAACTTTTCTACTTTTTTGTTGTTTATTGACTATTTTACGTTTTATTGTTTGTTGGTTTTCTTACCATAAACACGAAGCCCTCGAACTCCTTCCTTCGCTCGTTGCCGCACATTTTTTCTTTTTTGTTACGTTTTTTTTTGTTGTAGCTGGAATGTTATAACTGTTGGGTTTATGCTGCTTTGAAACTGCCGAATTTCAGCAAGCGACCGTCCAACCTCAAACCGATTGAATGCTTAGCGCGCTTTTTAAGTATGAGAATTTTTCCCTTCCCTTTTTAAGAATGTTTAATCCAAGTTCTGCTCTTTTTTATTCTCGTCTCACTAACGCGTGCAGAAATATTTAATAATGTTGCAACTTTACATATCTACGTTCGTTGTTTTAAGAATTAGGGTGGTGCTTTTTGGCATCCCACATTTACCGAATGCCAATTGTCAAAATCATCTGAAGGAATACGAGGCAGAATTTATGTTTGTCTTCGACTACGGTTTTTATCAGATTCTAAGCGAGTCGATGCTTCGATGTCATCTTGCGTTCTGGCGTTGGACCTTTGGACCTCCAATTAGCTCAGCCTGCGCTGGTCAACAACTAGAAGTAGTGCTACTGCAAGATCCTTCTGACCTTGAGTGAACCGTAAGGGGTCCTCCGAATGATTTGCTCTTAGCAAGTCCATCTCTCCGCAACTGTAGGTGTTCTGACTGGTCACTGTTAATACAAGTATATTAAAATGCGGTGCGACTAAATATTTTGTCAGGCGCTCTTTGCTAAAGTTTTATGGAGAAAGGCGAGGTGGAATTATCTTATCACTTTCACCTCTTTTGCTTTTGCTAAACTGCGATTTGTTATATCTCACTAGACACACCTTTGGCGAACTAGCCGAAGTAGCTGGGATTGATATTAACTGACCTAATAAATTTGTGATAAGCTAAAAACGCTTCAACGATCTGGTGATCTACTTTTTGGCGAGATCCATTGATTTTGGATCAACCCTACGATCTAACCTAACTTTGACTTAGGTCGAAAACCCTTGATAATTTCCCTTCAGTCAACTGAGAGAACTAACGGGAATTGAAATAGCACGCACTTTGGGAAAATTTACAAGGGGTTGTCGCTGTATAAGTTTTTTGATCAATACATAGGAGTTTCTGATATCACAAAAAGTGGTCTAAATACAACTGAATTCTTCGATGACTGCTGTGTGATTAGATTGTAACCGATCGAAGCGCTACGAGTATTATCTCTATCTGGTTTAATACTGTCATAAATCAACAATTAAATAATAGTTACATAGTTGTAATTCTAACCACCACCCTAATAAATTTATATAATCACGAACAGGTTGCTTACTGGTTTATGCGTCCGTTTTGCTTGTTTTTCTCTGCGAGTGTTTAAAACTTTCACCATTTATTCGTGTGCATAATTGAAAAGAAT